GATTGCNCAAAAAAGAGATGTTTGATCAAAAGCGACACATTGCCCTCACTGCGGGTTGAACTGTGTCTTCCGGGTGTGTCGCCTCTTGAAACCGTCAGCAAGGACCATCAAAAGGTGCCTAGGTTACGAGAGGTCACTGAACTTTCCCAAAGGACCTTCTTCGAACCTTTGGTAAGTACTGTTTTTTCGCAAGTCAGTAAATAGTGTTGATATTAACCCTCAACATGGCGCGTGAGTGTCGGACGGATGAGGCCGATGGCACAGGGCGCTGGTAGGATCACGCCATGGAAGCAATACGGACTCTAGTCCATCTAACAGTCGGTGTGGCCATATCTTCGTGTCCGCTTCCTACCCTTGTCAGGCGGTTGCCATGTTTTGTTGACCTTACACCAGTTTTGGCTGTCCCCGGAGCCGTTATTTCTCTGATATGGGGGGAGGCACGTCATGATGTCATTCGTCGGCATTCCCATGTTGTCAAACCAGTCTCCATTGTGTGAGTCTGGGGTCTGCGCTGCTATGACGGTTGTCATCTATTTTTTTGGGAGATGGGGGGGTGAATTTTCGGGGTGTCAAATTGGCCTGGGGAATTATGAGTTCAAAAAATCATGTTCGGTATAGCCGAATCTTCCTGGGAGGGTCCGCTTCAATTTTTCGTGTCTATTGTAGTGTTGATACCCGAGGTACTTCCAGTCTGGATTCCCCTATTTGGTACTGAATGGAGATTGTAGGTCTAGGCTTTGCTGTCGTGACGGGGTCTGAAGTGTTCAACTTTCTTTTCGAAAACAGGAGCCAACTTCTCCTTGTTTGACGTAGAAAATTAGAGATCTCGGCTCGGTCCGGTTGCCCCACGCGTAGCCAAATTCAAAGGACACTCACGGAGATGCGGTTGACGTATCGAACTAACCCGACGTTTGATTACTCACTCTCGAATTAGAAACCATTGTCAGCGCGGATTAACACTGCGTGCTGTTTTATTCTGTTTCATCATGCTCTAGCTGCTATCAAATCCGTTTGTGCAACGAGGCAACCGTGTATTATTTTGCCGCGGCCTTGACCTCCGAGGACTGATTTAGTTGTGCTGCCGGCGTAAACAAACGTCACGCCTCTGCTGCCTTAGCAAGTTTAGTCCCCTAGGTTTGGTAACTATCCCCCCGGGTATTTATTTTTTTTGTAGTCCACCGAGAGCTGGAATTAAACACAATTTCGTCTCCAATAGTAAAGCATAACAAGACACGTTCTACCTTGACCTTGAAAAGGTCAATTTTATAATATATTTTGGCGTTTGCTGCCGCACTGTAATCCTTTGCTTGATTAGCTCTCGGTTTTGGTGACGAGACACTTGGGGCTTCGCCACTGTACCTCTGTCGGGGGTCTGCCTCCGGCCCCTTAGGCCTTCCGTACGTTGGCAGTGCATATTCTACCCAAGTGTTGTCCTCCTCCGTCTTCAGGGAATGCCCGCAGCAATGCACAAGTGATTCCACATTAGAAACGGTAGCCCTAGGATAATTTGACCAGAGGGACCTAGAAATTACAATACCTGAAGATGAGAAGGCAAAACTACTGCACATCTCACTCCCACGTCACGGCTTGGCAAGCATTGCGTTGCTTTGTCGACTCCTACGCCACAAATGTTTGATTTTCTCTTTTTTTTTAAACCCCACACTAGCAGCATGAGCAGAGACTCGCTGCTGCTGTAGGGCATTTAGATCTGCGTAATCGCATAGGCTTATACTGCCGTCTCATACCAAGTCGGAATCAACCGTGCCCCCTTTCTTGACGAAATTGGCTTGAATTAAGTAAATAGAGTAGCTGGAAGGGAATGGGCTCTGCCGTAGAAAACAAAACAAGGAACTATGTCCTCCTGAAGGTGGTCTTTCAGTAGTACTGTTGCTTTGTGATGGTGAAAAGTGACGATTGCGAGGGAAAATTTTCCAGGTGGTTAGTGTCAAGTTGTCGGAACTCGATCCAAAACTTAGTGCTCGAGTATTTCCTCGAAATGGGTTGAAATGTGGACGGAAGCTGAAACCAAGGTGTTAAAGTGTCTTTCTGCCATGCGGCGTCCCGAGTCTTCCCTGAAGTTGAGAGACGTCACAATGGCGGAACGGAAAATCCATGGCTAACGTGCAGAAGGGCCCTCAGTGCCTGCGAAACCAAAACGAAGAGTTAAACAAGCCATCGACGTATCATACAGCTCTTTGGGAAGATATTCGGTAGCAGCGTCACTGATCCCCCTTGGCGATTTCACTGGATCTGGAGCTTCGTACTGTTTGGGGTCTGTGTAGTCAGCCATAATGTCTAAAATAGTATCGTAGGGATAAAGTTTCTCATCTGTTTTCCCCTGCTACTTTATTTTCACTGCAGTGACAGTCTGAGGTGGACGTCATTTTCAACCCTTCTGTTAGGGTTCGTCGCAATCTTTCAACCACAGCATATTCCCTTCTTCGGTCACGTCAGGGTTTGTCATTCAGTAATAAAAAAACAAACTGAACCTCCCTTGGAATGAGGTTTGCTTTCCGCCCTTGGTCTCCCCTGAAGTCGTGGCAAGTCAGAAAATGTGGTTTCGATGCCCAGAAGGGCTTGGGGGGGATGGGCTACTGGCATATCTCGGAGGTCTTGCCGACCGGGGTGGCAGCATGCCAGAGCCTTAGGTACCTGCATAGCCAAAACAGAATATTAAACAAACAATCAAGGCATTATATTTAAATCAGTAAATTCAGTTACAGCTTTTCACTTATTTAATTCACATTCGTTTGAAATTGGGTGACGCCATCGAGTCTCTAATTGCAGGATCTAACTGTCCTACTTAATTAATGTAAGTAAAAATAAGGTTTGCCAATGATGTTCTGCTAAATTAAACGCGACGGTGGAGTCTTATGAAGAGCTCTCAGCCTGCAACGTTCATTTAGTACATAACTAGGTAAAGGCGAAGGGAATTAAAATTATAAATAATGAGTTTTTAGTGGAGGGGGATTCATCGAAATTTCCCTAGCGGACACTGGGGAAAATGAAAAGCTTTTACTATGCCGACTTTACAAGGTCTCCCTTTTTCCATAGCTTGTATTTTTTAAGGTAACGATAATTAGGATCTAGGCGTAGCAACAATATCACTAGTCTACTGAAAAGAATATTGCGTTTCACAGAATTCAGGATAAATGATTCATTGAACTAATTCAAATAAAACAGAAATGCGGCTGCTTAATTGGTTTTGAGGAATGCAAGAATACGTTCGTTTCTTTTAAACGACTCATATGAACAATCGTAGCCTTGGTTAGTTCGGGTGCCAACACTGCACTAATTAAAATGCCTTTATACAGTGGCTGAATGTCATCAAATTCATTAGAGAAATTGGAGTAGAATCTGTAGTTCCTAAACTCCACTTGGAGTTATTTCAGGGATATTGTGTCATAAATCCGCAATCAAATATGCGCTCCCCGCTAGTGTTACAAAGTGATTTTTTATGTATGAACTTTTTTATGAAGTGAAAGCAGCAAATACCACCAAGCGTCAAGGCGATTCCCACTAAATCTAATTACCTGAATGACTATCAAGCATAGTTCGTTGGATTGCAAGTTGTAGCACCTTACGAAAAAACTTCACTGCTTTTCGACTGTCACCATCAAATGCAATTGATCTTGTGGTTGTGTAATGCTGTGATAGTTTAATTATGCTCTTGACTACGATGGCACTTAGGTCCCTTAGAGCCATGGCCTGCAAACCATGCCAGTAGACTCAGTTCCATTGTTCTTGAGAAAATTTTGGGTACTCCAATGATACACCTCGAATATCGAGGGTTTGTTTTGGGTCAAGGGAATAGGCAGGCTCCCCAGTCACGCTTATCTTCTAGTCAGATGTTATGTTTTAACACCATGATTTTGTTTTTAAGTTATCTTTACACGGGTGCACTCTGTGTCCTTCAAGTCAGTCGATTGATGCACGACTTTACAAAGGAGGACAGTGACAATCAATTTGTGATTGCGCCGCCTTTTTAACCCATGAAATGAAGTAGAATTCGTTTACCTTCACGTAAATAATTATGACCTTGGGCTCTGCGCGCGTGGCCTTGGATTCTTCCGGTGTCCCTACCAAATACCTGGCATTATTGCCGACGTGTATGGGTAAACAAAGTGGATACAGAAAAGCGTGTACGCCTGATGGCTGGATCATGGAAATTGCCGTTGTTATAGCAACGAAGTTACCTTGACCTTGAAGTGAGTATTAGCGCACTTGAATTGTCAGTCAGGAGGGTGTTAGTGGGAGTTCGATATTAGTAAATGTTTGGGAGTAAGCTACAAAAATGGGAACTTGTAGAAAATAGAACCGGAACGCTCTCTGAGCGTGGGACGTCTCCGCCAGTAGTATGCACGGTTTTGGCAGTCATTTGAAAATCATACGCCACTGCTGAACGTTTGCTGCAAGAACGTAAGTCTGGGCGAATGGAAGTGGATGTGACATACTCAGAAACGACATAGCACACCTCATCTTTTTATTTGTTAAGCCATCAACCCGGACAGGGTAACAAGAAGACCCTATCGTCGCTCACATCGAAGTTACACTACTTGTTTCTTCAGTTTTCTGAAGGGCTTTTTTTAAATCACGTGGCTGAACATTCTCCTGAAATAAACAAATGAGATATTCTAGGGCCTGAGGTAATTAAGGTGTTGGTAAAGTGAATCAACTTCAATATAGAAGGCGAAATCCCAACAGCGGAAATGGGAAAGATGCGCGTGATCCAGTATGTAGTCGCATGCTGCACCAATAAGTGTTAATGTCAAAAATTGACAAGTTTAATGAACACTTGCTATTCGTGTTTGTATGGACTTTCAGCCCATGCCCCTTTCGCATAACGCTGGCCTGGTAGTTGCATTATTCACTTTAAAACACCTCTGCCCCTTTGGAAACAGTGAGGTAGTAGAGAACTAAGGGAAATTTTTCTGCTCCTTGCATGAAGTTTCTCTACCGCCAGGAGAAAGGAGAAGGATTATGAAGAACTTCGAACGCTCTGTATCTTTAGACAGTAGCTGAAAATTTTAAAAGCTTTTGATTTTGGGATAACCTGAAACTTACTTTTACTTTTGTCTCTGCAATTGAGTTAGGAATCCTTGCGTCGAGCACTTAAGATTGGCCACTTTGGACATCTCACTACAGCCATAAACGATTCTATGGCGGGTGCTTAACCGACACGGAGTCTATGATTAAGTGTCGTTCTTTTGACTCTACAACCAAGCGCTAGTAACTTTTTTAACAAATTCCAGATGCAAGAGAGTCTCCTGTGCAGTGCAAGGCCGATGATGCATCACATGCAAAATATGATAGACGGTGTGATTGACAAAAATCGTTTTTCTTACCGAAATACCATAAATTGAACCATTTATTTAGAGAAGAGGAGTTCATTAACCTTGAGGAATTGTCAAGCATTTGAAATTTTACACTTGATGGTTGATTGTTTCCCCAATATGACTATAGCAATTCTTTGAAAAGTCTGACAAGCTCTGTAGAGTTGTGCATTTGGCTAAAATATTAATTTATCTAGTAACACGCATCACTCGTGTAGTGCCTCAAGTCTTTCCCAAAGACTGAGGAAATTATGGTATTAAGGCAGAAAGACAAGGCCTCAAGTGACCGTGGAACCAAACTGAGGAGTCAAACAAGCAATCATTACATTACATTGTCCCTCTCTTATTTTGAGCGCCGTTGGTCCTTACAACGTGGTCGGTGGTGTTGTAAAACTCCCACCAATCGACCGCGCAAGTGACTGGATTTGCGTGCAACTGCGACGATATTTGGTCGCAACGTCACTGATCTCTCCTAACAAGTCCATTGGATCCGGAGTTCCTTCCTATTTCCTATGTGTGCTGGCCATCGCGTATGCCCAACATCAGTTGTAGGGAACACTGGCCCAAAAGCATAATTATTTACTTAGGAACGGTGTTTAAAGTAGTTTTGTGGAGATAAAATTTCGCATCTGCTCCTCTTCGCCACTTTGTTTTCACTTCAGTGATGCCCAACTACATCTATCTGGATTCTATGGAGCTAGTAAGGAGGCAGGTGATGCACCGCGTGACTGCATAGTTGACATCTCCATGCAGGTACGGTAGACAGCTCTCTAACAAACTTCTCCAGATGGTTCACGCCCATGGCTACTATCGCTTCTGTTGTTAATAGCATCCCTGAAGTATAGGGAGCCGGGATAGTTGTCGAAGGTAGACGTCATTGCCTCGGATTCTCCCATCCGCAGCACATGCAAACTCTTCCGTTCCGTTAAGATTTAGCATTCAGAAATCGAAATCAAAACAGATATCCTTTATGACCAAGTTAATATTCCACTGTTGTCATTTCATCTTTTTGAGTCTTCATTGAGGCAGAAAGAAATACTACTCGGGCAGAATATGCATTGTCGATGTACAGCGGGAGCATAGAGGGAGTTAGTGACCTAGCCCGCAGGCCATCCCCCTTTTAGCGGAAGTACAAAGGCGGAGCCTTTAGTACCTGCAAAACAAAAGCGAGGAGTTTGACAAGCAACATTGAAGGTCTGTGAACCATGTAATCAAGGGTGTCCTAGCCAATCATTTTTCCTTTGTGGGAGTTAAATGGGAGTTTGAAATGATACTAAATTTCACTCCACCTACTTGACTACCACACAGAGGAGTCAAGGTAATATCGTCATTGTTTCCATGCAAATTTCACTATAAATAAATCACCTTCCTTCCACTATTTGAGGTCATCTGTGTCTATCAAATAGTCAGCTTAAACGAGTGATTACCGAAAGTACTGTTTTGAGAAAAACTCTCTTTATTATCAGCCAATCAAAGGGCGGCAGAGTGGCATATCAAAAGGATATATCAAGCTAAGGTGATTTACTTTGGAATGATCTCTAAAGCCAGGGGCCCCGACCGACAGGGTAATGAAATAGGACCAACTACACTTGCTATTTAGTATCTAGCGATCTATGGAAACCACCAGCATTTTTAACTCTAAGTCCTCAAGCACTCATTGTAGCAGCCTTTGCATAAAGGAAACCCGGATTTGATTTTGTATACCATTAATATATCTAAGAATCAGGCTCCAATGTATGAGCAGAGATTATTTAGGAAAAGTCGCGTTTTTTGTCAGTTAAATAATCAGAGCCACTCAAGAGAGCATTCTAACTTCCGCCAGAGACTTAGCTGAGTGCAGAAACACGGAATCGCTTTGAAGATTTTAATTACCTCAGCTTTCTCTGTGCAGATCGACGAGTAACGCAATTTACGTGAATGATCAACGCAAATTTCAGCTACCTTAACAGTTGTTCACTTCGTTTTGAAAAGGTTTATTCATTTTTAGTACCCGAAAAAATTCGTCAACTATGCGGTTAATGTCGCTTAGGGCTTGTCGGTAGATTATGCCGGCTATATACCATAACGATTTGATAAAGTGATTGAGGAAACGACTTCAGGTTTCCTTTTTACTCGCGTGCTTAGTTGATGTTCAACGAAAAATTATGGGCATTTTTGGTAATCTGGTGCTTCTGTTCATTTTAAATTCATGCTGCAACTTTCGTGGCACTTGAGGCTCCACCTGTGCGCTCTCGCTAGGTGGCTTGGTCTCCAGGCTATGTCAGTAGCCCTCAGATCCCTGAGCATTAGCAATGCCTTTTTCGCTCCAGTATTATGACTTTTTTTAACTCCAACTAAGACTAGGGTCGCTGCAATTGCCAGGCGGCTCTGTCCATGCCATTGTTGTGGCAGCTACTCACCGTGAGATTTAAATGGCAGCTGAATGTTTCTTACAATCGCCAGTCCTTACTCAAAGTGACGCAGGTATAAAATACTTCATAAGTTGCTTTAATACTAACTTCCGATGGTACTTTTAAGTGGATTTTCACTGACCGTACCAGTCCGTCAAACGATATGAGGGTGTAGACTAGAATAAATACAGCGATGAAGAAAAATGTTTGATTTATAGTAAATGGAAACTGGATAATTAGCGTTCAGAGCTGATTGAGTAGATCCATTAGGCAGCTAAAACTTAATTCAGTCATTTGTTTGAGTTAACTACTTCGAAATGATCTATTAGCTTTTAGAAACTTTTTGATTTACTCAAAAATATAGGCGTGCAAATAAACTAGGGAGCAATAGTAAATAGGATTTAGCCAAATTTTGTCAATTAAGGACCGCTAAATAGAGTTAATTCATGGGTTCTCTAGCGACGTTTCATCATTGCGCAAAAGAATTTTGAGAGGACCCACCTCATTAGTCGTCATTTAAAGGAGATTTTAGGCAAAAGGCGTTGGAGTAATTGCGTCGACCCGTCTCAATCGTTATAGGCTACGTAATCCACGTTGAGCCACTGTACTCGTAAAAGACGTAGAAGAGACCAAAATAAGCCAAACTGAGGGGCGCCTTCACGCATTGGTGTACTTTTATTTTACACCAATTACAAGAGACCTGTTGATTAATTTGCAGTTTTTAACTAATTTTAGTGCAAGCCTTGCCCATAACGTGACTTTACTTCCTGCGCATCGATGGATTTGGTTGGATTTTAGGTAGGGAATTTATGAAAGTTTTGAAGAGTTATATTATTTATTTTAGAGAACCAGATTTCTTGTTTGCGTTTGACCTGATGATAGCCAATTAGAAATGGCTTTGGGTATGCACCCACATACAGTCATATCAAAGGGATTTAAATACCCGACGAATGAATGCCTCACGAAAATGGAACTACAACGATGTCTGTATACAGTGCTAGAAAGTCCTCTACGTAAAATTTGGCGGATTAGCCTTGTCATGATATTAATACTGACCCTAATTAGAATCACTTTTCTCTTCCGTACAGACAATCTTGCCTATTACTCTACAAATTGGCCTTTTCAACTTCGAAAAAAGGGAAGTGTCTACGAGCTGAAAGCCATCTACCTTGTTAATGGAATAAGCAAATCAGAATTCAAAATTCCCGAGGTCTATGTTCGCAAGAATGGGAATCAGTCAGTGCTTCTGAGTCACAAAGATTTGCAGTGGATTGCTGATATACACTGGCAGCGTCCCATTAATCCACGGGTGTATCGCGTCTATCCACAACCACTAGATCTCAACGATACCATCCACCGGTTACTAAACGGCATACCGATTGCAGAGGTGAGGCAAGCGCATTTTCTTCAATAATCAAAGAGAAACCAAAAAGGTTTCCCAAAATCTCAACATTAGTAACACTTTAATTTTTAGGGTAGAATAAACAGCTCCCTGAATGGGTGGTTTCTATCCCTGCGAATAACATCTTGCATAGAGATAATCTATTCCCTTAAAGTTTAGTGAAATAGCCATAGCCATATTTCGTTGCCAACTTTGTCCTTAGCCAAGTTACGAATTTAAAGCAATATTACTATTTTTGCATAATAGAGCTGGCGCCATTTAAGCTCCATATTTTCTTGAGCATGTTCTCTCAGCTCATCAAGTACGATGACCAAATGTTACCGTTGCATTTCTTACCTTCTGTAAACATATACACAGTTTAAACATTTCAGGCTCCAATAAATGGCGACACCTTCAGATACTTGGCCATTAGCCAAGGAGTGTGCCACCCGGAAAACCCCGTCAGTCATGCTTTCGACGTTGTCGTGGTGGTCAAATCCAATGTAGCCGGCTTCCGGCGTCGCGAACTCTTTCGTCGTGTATACGGTGATGTGGTGAACAACAACGCTCATGACATCCGAGATATGCGAATCGGCCTGGTATTTTCCCTGGGTGTTCCACGTACCCAAACCAACAGTTTCTTTAGACGTGGTACCCATAATTTCAAACTCAAAGGCAGTGGAAGTGAGAATCTGAACCCGGAGTCACTTAAACAAACCTCTAAAGACTTGGCTGAAGAGATAGTCACTCACGACGATATGATAGTGGGTGACTACGAAGATACCTACTTCAATCTCACAATGAAGACCCATTACTCCTTCATGTGGTTCTCAACTTTCTGCCGAATCACTCAGCCTAACGTACTATTTATCGATGATGACGTCCCCTTCTCCCCGCAACAGCTTATTCGAGTCCTCTCCTCTATGTCTCTAAAGCAACGAAGAACCCTGTTCCATGGGAAGGTAGAAATTAACGCGAAAGTGATACGATTCGGCTGGAAAAGTTATCAGAAATGGGCTCTGTTAAAGGAAGAGGCTCCCTGGCCACTCTATCCGCCCTATTTGCAGGGTATATACATCCTGGCGGGATTCAAACATGTTGAGCGGGTGGCTCTGGGGATGCTCTTCACCCAGTACATCCCAATTGAAGATGCCTGGATTGGACTGGTAGCTACGAGGTTAAATATCACCTTGAGCAGCATCCACGAGTATATGTCGAGAGAGAACATGTTGATCAAGAAAAGGTCAGAGTTTGAACCAGTTGATAGTAAGGTGTTCTTTAGATGAATATTATTTTCCATGTGGATTAATGGATATTTTGTTCATACTTCAATAGCTTGTTTGAATGTAGAACTAGACCGCCACTTGGGTATCATTTTTTCCACTGGCAGACCACAGTAATCAGTACACCTTGTATTTGGTGTCTATAAAGAAGCATAGTGCATAAATCCCATTGGCCCACGGCTTTGAATCTCTCACGGGAAAAGCGAAATTTCAAAACTTGCGTTTTTGAACTGTTCCAGTTGACCATTGTTAAAAGCATCTATTTAAGGCACGATCTGGCGTATACGTTGGGACATTGAGCTGAGATAGAAGAATCAGGTTGATAGAGAATATGCTAAGCATACAATTATGAAATGCTTTCAAACCACCTTTAAAAGGCGTCTGCATTTCTCCAAACCTTTTAAAAGTTGATGAAGTTGTTCCTGTTGAGCTTCCTAAAAAAACTCTTAAGTGGTTTATCCACGAGCATTCACAATGGTTAGTTGTGACGTAAGATCTGCATTTCTATCAAGTTTTTCCACTTCAAGGACCTTTTAAGCCAAAGGAAAGTGATTTATGACAAATGTCGTACCACCTACATAATTAAGACATGCTCTTTCTAAATTTCTCATTTAAAGCCTTTTGCTTTCGTGAAATTGCCCTACGCCATTGAAGTCGAATGACTCAGAGACAACAGCAGCACACCAAGTCTTGCCTGAAGTGTGGCAGAAAGTATATCAGTAATGGAGAGAAGAGCAGAGGGCCTACTGGAGTGTTTTGGAGGCTATACCACTGGGCAGACAAATAATCAAAGAATTATTTAGCGCCTTCTCTCCCTTTGAGCACCCCTTGGTCAACATTCGGCGTAGGCCATCTCAATGTGATCGTTAATGTAGGGAAAACACCCAAAACTAACAGCAGCAGCCATCAGATTTGCGTGCTACTGGGAGGAAATTTGTCTGCAACGTCACTAATCCATCTTGGCAATCTTACTGGATCCGGAGTTTCTACCTATTTGGGTAACGTAGTGGGGGAATGGAAATGTGCTAACCCCCACGTGTGTCCATCACTAGTCGTCATCAGTTAATAAAGGACAGGGATTAAAGTGGTTTTGTAAGGTCAAGATTTTGCGCCTGTTTCTCATTGCCACTTTGTTCTTACTTCAGTGCCTCCCAGACACAGCACCTATTTGGGTCTTCTTGACACCTTCGAACAGATACCGTAGACAGCTCCGTATAGAGCTTTACCAGATGGTTCACGGTTAGTGCCTCTCTATTTGTTGAGAGCAATCCCACAGACCTCAGGACTGGGGTAGTCGTCTACATTGAACGTCATTTGCAAACTTCCCGTTAAAGGTCATCATGGTTTTTTCCCACCTGCAGCATGTGCCCTACTTCCATCACGTCAAACTATAGCATTCACCAGTAGCAATAAGGATATTTGTCCTTTGGCATCAAGTCCATTTTCTGCTGGCATCGATGTGGCTCCCCAAGACTTTGCTAAAGACAAAAGGGGATGTAATACTTAAGCAGAATATGTATTGTCAACATACAGCATAGATTGGACTACTATCGTAGTCCTAAGACTCGATTGATGTGAGGAAGTACAGCTTATGGATCCTTAAGTGCTCGCATAATTAAGCTTAGAGTCGAGCAAACTATCGCAGCATTACGATGCATTCCTTCCATAGTGCTTAAAAGGCTTTCGGGAATGTGAAATAGATAGACTGTCTGGCATTTGCGCTCGTGTATCATGTGATGTAAATTGATAGTGATATGGGCGGCTAAATTCCCAGTTTGAACACTTTATTCTATCCAACAATTTCGAATGCGGTTTTTACAAATTCCATGTAAAGATACTTTATTGTCACATTAACCTATTAAGGACTCTGAACTGGCACTAAAAAGCCACCATCCTCTAAAAACCTTGCTGAACCGAGAGGTACCAATTTTTATTGCCTTTCGTTATAGCCTGGTGTTTATGTGCATAAGCGAGCTTGTTATTATCAGAAGACAGTTAATAATGCGGGTTTTACATTACCAGCTCTTTCGAGTAAAGTGAGGTGAGACACGTGCGCAGGCGAGGGCTTGGTGATTATCGAAGGTAGTGAAGTAGCCCTATGCTATTACCACATAGTGAACTATCAGGAGGATCAAATGAGGGCACGAGTTTCTAAAAATCCTAGAATGCAAAGAATTGGGCTCTACAAGAAAGCTTTTAAGGAATCGAAACGAGAAACTTCTTTGGGGTTGAACACATCCTTAGCACACTTATTAGTCAGAAGCTCTATGACAACCAACTCGAAAGAACCATGCATTTTGGTAATATGGGATTTGGAAAGTAAACATAGTTCTATAACAGACGCAGAGTTTGTCGCCTGCTCGAGGACCGATGACACCGCCTCACTCCAAGTTTTTAATCTGCACCCATAACACCTGAAGCAATGCATAGGAACAATCATTTTACTACAGAAGCCCCCCAATTTTAGGCACATCGAGTAACGGCGCTCCAGTGAGGCGATTCCGCGCTATTTAGTATCTTTGATCACAAATTACGGCGCAGAAAGAGTACGCGATAGGAATCTGTAGATACGCGCAACTTGATTACTAAACTCAACTCAGCTCTTGATAAATATCTATTTAAATTTAATCAGTGGGATAAAAATACACAGATTGGCAAACTAGCTTTGTTAATAAAATAGAACCACTTATTACAATGCTTCGATAGTCTGCTTAACTTTGCACCTCATGTCACTGGAATTTAAGTCTTCAGGGATTGGATATCCGCTCGGTGGCATGACCAAAAGACTATGTAAGTAGCTTCTGACCCTTGTGCTCCTTTAGTAAAACATATTCTTCTGAACCACCGTGGCTTCTTACAATTTCGAGAAAGACTAGGGAGATAACACTTAAAAAGGGAAAAATTTGGCAATGTTTTACTTCAAAGGAGTCGATAATGCTTAGTTTAGAAAAAAAGTGCAGTAAAAGTTTCGTAAAATACAAATGTAAGTATAGAAGCTGGGACCCTACCATATATCTCATTATGTCTCGATGGATCATATCCTCCAGTAAATATTAGCCAAATATGCTGCCTTCATATTAGCCATTTATTTTTTAGGTGCCTTGCAACTTGGATGTAGAATTTGACAAAACACCTTGGTAAGATTTGACATACGCCTGACAATTTTAAAATACAAGCATCTTGCCTAAAATTTTTTTTGAAAATTTTCGCACAACTTTAATAAGGCCTATTTTATTGAACCTAAAAGTAGATAGTTGAAAGGCTATGGCAATTAATTGATCACTCACGTTTTTTGTTTAAGTCATTTGGAGTGCTGCCAATCTTTTGACGTGCCTTGGCGAAGCCTTGTTCTATCTATTAGGGTTGTTTATGGCTGCTCAGTAATTATGTCTCAGTGGTTTCATAGAAATCCATACAAAGCTTCTGGTCGTCCAAATTTTGATCTGGGGCCAATTGCTACCAGTATTTCCGCGCGGATGATCTGCAGGTACGGCCACTCGTCGGTGATCTCATTACCTTTTTCTTTTAAGCCATATGAGAGAACGACGTCAAACGTTGATGAAAATGTTTGAGGACCTTGGTAACTCTCGAGAGGCAATGATAGAGGCAACGAATCAGTACATTTCCCTCCTCGTGGGTCTCGCTACGGCGCCTGATTCAAACAACGAATTGGACTTAGAAGATAATGAGGATGATGGCGAAGATAGCAATGCCTCAGAAGCCCCTGAGCCTGATGCCGGTAATGTCACTGAAAAAACTAAGAAGGATAAGGAGGGGAAGAAGAAAAAGGAGAAGAAGTCTGAGAAGCCTCAACCATCGGAATCAGAACAAAAGAAGGTACACTCACTACGGCGCCTCATTCCATTCACTTGGACAAACTCACTAGACATTAAACACAAATCCCCGATGTTGGTTGTCTACTTTATAATCATAACTTTATTGTTGTTAGGACTCTGCGTGACGCCAACTTCGAACTAATTGGAATTCTCTTCAATCTGGCTCTTTGGTTCTCCAAACATGCTGCCAAGATCGCGTCGAACAACAAGTAACAATATTTTACTTATCAGCATAACATTTTTTCCTTCATAGCATTGAAATGGAGCAAGCAGTGGAGGTGTATAAATCCTTACGAAACGCAGCCGGGCTGTTCGAGCATATCAAGAAAGATCTCTTGAGCAAAATGAAAGGTAAAGTGGAAAGCGGATCAGACTTGGACCCATGTATCCTCGAAGCTTATGTCTTACAGAGTCTGGCGGAGGCGCAAGAAGGTAGTACCTTTACCCTCTGCTTATTGTCTTCTAGTTACTATTGCTCGTGCTATGGAGTTGAAACATGATCCCGGGATTATTGCCCCGTTGGCGTGTGAAACTGCGATTTTGTACGAAAAGTGTAGTAAGTTTTGGGCAGATGTCATATTTCTCGTCTGTAAACTAAGAATCACATAAAAAAAGACGGTCTGCGGCCTTCAATTTTTTGGCATTTTGGAGTGCTTTGTATTATAACTTCTCTGCTATTTCCAATAAGGTCCACTTGATAGTCATGTAGTCGAATGACCGCTATTCAGTCCTCGGAGCCGTGAAACAAATACGTCCTTTCCTGCTCTCTCCCACAGGATTTGGACTGCAAAATATTTCCGAGTCTCTGGTTGCAAAGTGGCGGGCTTACTGCATCTTCAAAACTGCCTGTTTTCGTGCCTACGTGAGTTGTTGTATTCGCCCAACTTCATTTAATTTTCTACCTTCCTCTTCTACAAGCCTGTCACCATGGCAACTTATCTATTTCCGTGCCTATGGCAGAAACCAATCAGGTTATGGGTGTCGTTGTTTTTCCCGGTTTGATATTGACATCTCTGGATAACGTATTAATCAATAGGTAGCTGTGAGATCCGTTTCACCACTTCATCTGCGCCAAAGTTTACGACAGTGTGGTGAGGTCTTGTTCTTGTGCTCAGGCTCGTAATGAAATTAAGATGTGTAGGTGGTGTTGAAGTTTGCTTAAGAAGGCCTGCATAACAATGTGGGTGTTTAATTCAATTTTATTTGTGTGTGTACCACGATTCTGAAAATATTTTACTGAAATCCGCAAGAATGGGCAGTTTAAAACACTGTGTTTTTATCAGTGTCTTTGTAAAATAATTTTAAACCAGGCTAAGTGCTTTAATTTTGGATTTCCTTTGGTCAAGAATTGGAAGTTACCTTCCGAATTCCTACCTCTATCTTTGCACATTTCCAACCTTCCCAAGCGTCCCTTTCCAAATTTGTCGTTTTTGGCATCCTGAGTTATGAATATTCATTAGTTTTGAATATAATGTACCTTCGAATTATAAATTCCAGTCCCTCGCCAACATTTTTTTAGCAGTCTATGGTTCATACTCTCCTAGCCACGGTTTAGAATTGGTATATTTTTGAGTTGATAATCAGAGTTTTATGTCTACTTTTCTGCACTTTTCAATTGAAGCAATGTTTGTTGATTTTTTGAAAAAAATTTTGCTATTACGTTTGATCTAGTTTTCACAGTCCATTGGAATCACTTCCCAGGCGGCACTATCTTTAACTGAGACTTTATGTGTACCTAATTTTCTCAAAGCGAATTCAATGATTTTTCAGGTACCTGAAGGTCGATGCCACTCCTGGTGCCTTGATTGCTCGAAGAATAGTCTTTGCTTGATAGTGCTTTTCGGACTGTTTGCGCTGTATTTACTAACTGCTCGCCATCCCATTACTAGAAAGATCCGCTGAAAAAGGTAACAATGTTGGGGTGGTGATAAATTTCTAAATTAGTCATTTGCGAGCGTTGATGGATCTAACAGGGCGGTTTCCTACATCCTTAATTTTCGAAAGTAAATTAGTCTGTTTCCCAAATTCCACGCGTTTGTCAATCTCCTAGTTCTTTGACCATTTATTCAGCTTTGATCGAATCCCAATGAATAAATTATGTTGCTCCTCATTTTAGGCTCACTGCTTCTACTCCGAGAGCGAGCTGAAAGCTGATCGTTGCAGCATGGCCATAGCTTCTGCCCAGGAGGCCCTCAAATGTGAGTGTTCGTTTTTTTCCTTCACCTCCATCTCCTCCGCTAGACTGCACACAGGCGCAGAACGCCGCTAAGGTCTACCGCTCCGGTTCGGGCGCCGAGTTCTGTTTCATCCGCCGTCTGCAGCCCTACGCTCAACGCACTCTCGCCAAGGCGCAAACCGAGAATGCCATGATGTGGGTCTACTCACAAATGTTCAGTAGGCTTGACAAAGCATTTATTCATGCTTGAGATTGACTTTATTTTGGGTGCGCACCTGGACCTGGAAGTTGGTCGCATAAGCTGTGGAGGTTAGAAAGACCTCATATAAATAGATATGTAATTAGAATAAATATCTTTCTACCAAATATCCGTCCTCTTTTGAGCGCCATTCCCGACATTCTTCTGCTTCGACCATTACAAGGTAGCGAGGTGTGATAAGCACTTTTAAAGCGGAAATGAATATGATAAGATGATTTCTCACCAGACCCTATGGAATTTTGCTCGACGTGCATTGCTTAAGGCTGGGCATTGTCGTGCAATAAGCGTATTTCCTGTACCAATCTCTATTCACAGGAATATGTCTTAGAGCTCTGAAAGCGGTTATATGAACATAATTTTGACTTGTTCAGTCTATACCTGACTTCACTGTAGGCCTTTGTATAGGACTTAAGGGATCATTATTTAGGGATCTATCCACGTCTTTATTTGTGCCGGCTTCTTTTCAGCTACCACCAGAAGGTGCTAGCCACTATGCCACATCTGCAGTTGAAGGCGAGCTTCGGTATTGCCACACCGGAACTGCCCCAGGGCTTGAATTTCACCATCGATGAATTGTGGCAAGAGGCAGTGCCTGGATTCGATCCTTCAAAGGTGGCCAAGTGGATAATGCAGAAGGACGTACGTGTTGTGATATGATTCTCTAATCTCATTCCTTCCTTCATTTGTTGGTTTAGAGTAATTGAATCTCTGTCCATCCATTCCGCATCTACCAGTCGTTCGTTTGTCCATTCATCTTGGACCGATGCATTCGCTCACTCAGTATTCTTGTTCTAGTACAACTCGAATCAGAAGGAGGCAGAAAAGTTGCGCTCGATTCCGGAGGCTCCTATCTATCAGGGCGACAAGGATCCAAACAATGCAAGTGGATGCATTCTATCGTAAACAGGCGTGATGGTGACATCGAAAAGATTAGTAAGCAGAAACCCACGTTAACACACACACAAGCTAGTACTCAAGATGACTTTATATCCAGCATATATCTCACTCCCACTGGTGACTGTGATTACTACATAAGCCTCTTTTTGGTCACATCCATTTTTTCTATCTGATAAATAAGTGTTAAAAATGAGTGATTTTGTGAAGCTGTTCTTTGGCGGGTAGTGCGATTCGTTCCATTCTCTATCCACAGAAAGGGGACTGTAAATGGTTTTCAGTTATCTGTGAATTTGCAAGTTGCTCTTTCATGTCAAAAGTGACTAACCTTGGTTGTACTTTACAACTTCCTGTTTTATTTAAGTAGACCAAGTTTTAATCACAGGCACGTCCATGACGAATTTCTCGGTGGGTGGTCAGTCACCACAGGTCAGGTGTTTTATTGCTCTATTGTAGTATTAACTTTTGTAGGACTTATTTATAACATTTAGGATGTGTAAAAAGTGTGAGCATGTGAACTTTCATGCGTAATCAGGTATAATATGCAGATAAAAAGCACGCACCACATTATTTGCGGCGAGGAAATTGGCGCGTCACGCATACGTGACATACTTAGCAAACGTGCAAAGGACAAAAAATCCACTCACCACACTCACTGTCGGGTAAAATTTTGGCCTAAGCAATTCTATAGCAGTTGTTCATTGCATATTTTGGTGGTTTTAACAGAGTTGACTTCGGTTATAATTTTGGTAGATATAAAAAATGATTGTTGTCTCAATCAAGACGTCCCTCTTCTAGTCTTCCTTCTGTTTATATAAACTAGGTGATTTTAAAATTGCATTTGAGTGCTCAAAAATTTCCAACATTTTGAGACTCCACTTTCTTATGATGTACTTTTTGAGGGTAGATGTTCATTCCCAGTAATGACATTCGACCAATTTTTTTACGAAGCTCAGTTAAGTGTCAAGACGAAAATACCGAACCCCATGCTGCTTCTCTGTTATCAGTTGCTGGGGTGATTACCTGACACCTGCACTTTACTGGCATGAATCAGGGCAGAGGCAGGAGCAGATCTAGCACTTACATTCAGCATTCCTGCCAACGCACTGTAAATGGGTATTCAGAAAACATGGTTTCCGTCACGCTTTTAGAGCCACTTTTGGTCTCTTCGATTCAAGGTATTGATAACTTTTTCAGCTTATCGGACCCCTATTCAAAAAGGGATGAGTCTCTGTCCCCACCGCGGAAGTTGCATATGGGAGAATTCTGTTTTACCTTGATGCTATTTACTGGTTTTACAAACTGGCAGCTCTAATGACAAACTGCAAGGTGCCATTGGTATGCCAGGCAGACATAGTTATGTAGTCCGAACAAATGCTACGTAACAGATCGGTGGCTGTTTTGGTTGTCTGTCTGACTAGGCATGCCCATTGGTCCCCGTGATTTCAGCCACCATCTTGATGGTGTGGCGTGGCGCTTATGTCGTTTCTGCTAGATAGCTTGTTGTCGATTTTGCATCCACGGAGGCCTTGAGTGTTATAGCAGCAGCAGTACCAAGTACATCTGATCCAAATGGATAAAATTTTAATTTTGTGGGCCAAAATTGGGAATTCATAAGAATTGGCAAGATATAGTACTGACATTGGAAAGAAATGGATGGTTCTTTTCTGGCTCTTGATTGCTTTTTCAAGCGTTGCCTGCGTTGTGCCAAAAGATTTGGAAGACTCACCGCGCGGGCTTTTATTTCCCCGAAGGTTTTGGTACTTGTAAAAGCTTATCAATCATTTTCGGACTCAAGGTGGACTGGAGCACTAAAAAACCATAATGCATTTTTATATGCCTTATATGTTTCAAAGCGAAAGATAAATAACACGTCCATCGTGTAATCAGAGAGGTGCACTTATAGCTTCTCCTCTGCGCACCCATTAGCATTTAAGAGCGATGTTAGCATGAAAATACTTCAATCGACGGAAATATTTTCCTTCAAGGTGCACAAAACAAAGCTATCTTTATAGGTAAGCGCCAACCTGAATCTGTTTAAAAGTGCGCACCTCGGCTGCTGGGAGGAGACGAGCAGAAAAATTTAATTCGAGGTGAATCGACAAACGGCTGATTTGCCACTGTTAATTGAGTAAATTCATATTGCAATGCATTGATTGTTGTTCATCTCTTCGTTTTGGTTTCGCGGGCATTGAAGGCTCAGCCTTTGTACTTCCTCTGGGCGGTCTGGCCATGCCAATAGACCCTTCTAGTCCTTCTGTACGTCGGCAGCGCATGTTCTGCCCTCGTACTGTCTTTTTTCGTCTCCAAGGGGAACTCACGGTGCTACAACTATTGGCGTCTGAGCCCAACTTCTGCCCTAAGTATTCCATCGAGATACTTTAATTGGTCGTTTAATTCTCGGTTTTGGCAACGGGCCCCTCCAGTCCCTGCTAATAGCCTCCATGCCCTTCTGTAGGTCGGAAATGCTTATTCTGCCCAAGTGTTATGTACCCTTTTGTCTTCAGGGAAGCCTCGCAGCGCCAAATATTTTTTTACTGTGATCCACTTTAATGTCAGTTCTTAACTCTTCCCAAATTTCTTTACGATTCTGAAACAGTATTTTCACTATTTGGTGCGATTTATTCCTCAGCTGTCGAAAAAGTAGGTAGCGAGTTTAGAGTTGACAGTGTAGGGTAAAATCAGCATTTCAACAGATTTGACACGACCGTGCAAGCATGCGCGCACGCGGAGTGCATCGGTTGCTATTTAAGGCAAAAATGGTCCCAACCGTTGTTGGTAAACACACCTCCAACTTATTTTTAGGCATAAGCCCACGTATGTTGGACAGACATTGTGAAAGGCTATTTAAAAGCATTAAATAACCTTATTTCCACCTTTTAATTCGGCTGGATGCACTTTTATGTGAAGCCTTATTACAGCTTCATTACAGCGCTTCAAGCGCCTCACAGCAGGGCTATAAATAAAGCAATTTGAGAGGTTTAAATTGGGAGTTCTAAAGAAAGATAATAACACCAAAATTTTTATTCAATCACTCCTACGTCATACGGGCTGTAGGAGGAGCAAGTACTTGCTGAAATGTCACTTCTTTCGGGTCATTAAAACTCATCCTTTTAGATTGTTTTCTAGTCGGCTGGATGGTGATGAAGAATGGGTCTTGTATTTCAAGGTATGCTAAATATACAATCCTATTATTGATGTAGTACCTCAAGACCTCCCTGAAGGCGAAAGGAGACGATATACTCGGGCAGAATATATGTTGTCTACTCGGGCTTGGGGCTACTGGCATGGCTCTGAGGCCAGGCCGTCTGGCGGAGGCACAATGGCGGAGCCCCTAAGTAGCCCTTTACTAAAACCCAGAACTGAACAAATAACGCATTCTACAGCTTCTCTCCTCTTTTAAGCGTCGTCCCCGTCACTCTCCTTCGTCAATTACCCATATCAGCCATCAAGATATGATTAATGCTGTAAGCAAAACATCCACAAACTAACTGCGCTAGTCATCGGAATTACGTGCAAGTGAGAAAATATTTGACCACAGCATCGCTGATCCCTCTTGGTAATTTGACAGAATCCGGAGTTTCGTCTTTTGAGGGAAGTCTATTGGGAAGAGGGAATGTGCTGCCTGTCACGCGTTTCCATCGCCAGCTGTAAGAACACTTTCCTAAAGCAGTCATTCGATAAAGGACGGAGTTTACAATAGCTTAATGGGGGTAGGGTTTCGCGTCTATTTCTGCTTCACACTTTGTTCTATCTTCAGTGCTATTCAGCCATTTATCTGTCTGGATCCCGTTTAGCTAGTAGGGAGGTGAAGGAGGTATTGTTTTCATTTCTTTTAAATAATTATCCAGATACAATGACCAGCTCTCTAACGAGCTTTTCCAGATGGCTCACGGCTCTGTCACTTCGGTTATTAATAGTTTACCTACAGAATGGGGACCTGGGGTAGTTGTCGAAGGTAGACGGTATTTTCAACCCTTGTGTTAGAGATTGTCACGAATTCTCCCATTCGTAGTATATGCCCTACTTCTGTCAAGTTAATCATCCAGTAATGAGATCAGGGTAATTGTCCTTTAGGATCGGGGCTGCTTGCCGTTGTTGCCGCTGTAGTGCCCCGTGACCCCCCTTAATATGAAAAAAGAAAATAATACTAGGGCAGAATATGTATTGTCTACGTACGGTAGGAATTGGGGCTGCTAGCATGGCCCCGAGGTCAGACCGGCCGGTAAAGGTACTATGGCGGCGCCCTCAAGAGATCCGCTACCAAAACCGAGAATTAGGTACACAACGTATTACACTAGGTAGCTCCTAAACCTTTCCCTCACTGACACCCTACAATTTCAAGGTGTACACCAATTCATTCCCACAAAATGATGCTTTGTTAGTGTGTATGTGTACCGAACAGCAGAATTAAACGTTGAGAAGTGATGGAACTCGAAGGTGTGCTAGTAAACTGACTCGTGAATCAGCCTAAAAAAGGCCTACTCCTATGCCGCAACGCAATGCTCCTTATCTCACAGAATAAAAATTTCCCTTGGGGGACCTTGAACTTTAGGGATAGGAGTGAAGGTACCGCCTCACTTTTACCCTCTACATTCCTCCATTGGCTTGTATTCCTGCTCCCAGAGAGAGAACTTGTGGTAATGGTTGATTTCACTACCTTGTGTCCTGTTTGGTAAGAATTGTGGACTGGAATGATCATTGTTAAGCGTCACACGAAAGTACTTTGTCACCTTATACAGCGAAACAGTTCTAGGGACCCAAAACTTGACATGTGTTCGTTGGATTCATTCTCCAAACCTACTCGAAAGCCTTCATATTCGTAATGCTCTCTGACTTTCAACTGACGCCGTAGGTATCTTTCTGATGTGGACACAGTGGCAGTTACAACTGTCTTGTAGAAAGTGTCACCTCTTAATTTTGGATTTCCTGTCAACCTTCTTGACACTGCATCGAGACCCAAGTTTAGATAAATTAGGGTCCTTATGTTTACAGCCATATCTGATAAGGCGCTCTGCTTTGCATACAACCACAATAAGCCTTTCGGGCAGGTGACCTTGAGAGGTGCCTTTGAACGGGCCACACAAATGTGTTCCCTGACCAATATGTAGGCAGGAGAAAAACTCCACCTCTCTGTGCACGTTTCTTTAACCGAGTAGAAGCATTAACTTTTTTGTGGCTTTAGTCAAAATACCGTACCAAGACACCCAGACAAATACACCAGTGCACCTAGCAAAAAAAAAAATGTTTTAGCTCCATGACCGGTTCAACTTGATACACAATTGGCGCCACTGAGGTGTGGGTCCACTTCCTCCTCCGCGTATGCGTGAGGAGCTTGTAGTCTCGGATGAGCTGCTAAACTGTTAATAAAGCTCGCATTCTAGCTTCCTTGAATTAGTTCGATCTTAACCATAGTGGTTTGACCCAACGTACCGTGTAAGGCCAGTAAATGGTGTGCCGGAAATGTATTTCTTGGCAAATTTACGAGGCACCATAACTGGAACAGTTAAGCAATTTATTAGGGGGACTACAAACTACTTACTCTATTTTTGGAGAAAAGAATAGACCAAAGGAGAAGTAAACGATATTCATTATGCTTCGTTCTTGGAGGCAATATGTTGCACCTCGATAACTGCCCCCACCTCGAGTGGAATTTTGAAGTGAAGCGCCAACATGAAATGAATGATCTGCTACTACCACGACAAGGCTTGGGTTGCAGGGCTTAAGGATTGATGCAGGGGCAAGACTGGGTGGCATTAAGGGGACGGTAATAAATTGTGGATGGGGGGGGGGGGAATAAAATCAAAACTAAATATTTAAGAAACTGGTATATACCGTGGTTATGCTGTCCATGTCACGAACTTTCTAACTCTAATTCCATCCTCCAGCTCTAAGAGTTAAATTTTGGCTTAGAGTTTAGAAAGTTGATTCTTTGTTGGAGATAAGACACGTTCAGAGGACTGGTTTCAACGCGTTAGCCTTAGTTTGGACCGAACGATAGTCCAAGCCGTGGTGGACCCTCCAGACGAGCTACAGGAGAGTAATTCTAGATCAGTGGCTGACCACATTTGGCCCTGAAACTCAGCGTACAAAGTAATCCTCTCCAAGCGTGTTAGACGACTGCTGGTGGACCACTCTCTTATCCTAGGGGCTGATAAACCGAGACGGCTTCATTTTTGTATTCCACTATTGTGAAAGGGTAATCAAGATTTTGTGACAGTGGTTTAGGTTAAGCTTTTGGCAGGCACTGCAGTCCTGACCCCGTGTCGACACAGCGACCCAGGCTGTGAGTCATTCGTGTAAACAGTAGCAAAGTGAATGCATCGTCTGAATGGATTTGACCTAAAATGGAGTGTTATTGCGTGTGAAGACTTCCACCTTCAATAGAAATCGTTGCAGTATTCCTTTCACGCATATCCCATTCAAATGCAGGGGGAAGAATAGTCTTTTTCTCCTTTTTTGCTGACTTTCGGATTAAAATGAATTCGTCCATCTTAGCTTCTTTCCCTAGTGTTTATTTCGATGGAATATAAGCAAATAAAGCTGCATTTTGAACCTGAAAGAACTGGTCAATTAGGAGATATTTCTTACAAGGTGGTTAGTTAGCTGATTTTAGATCCGCTTTTCATCATTAGAATTCAAGCTGAAGGCTATAATTTAGGCTAACTGCATAGCCTCCTCCATTTGGAGCTGATTTGTGACTATTCGATGTTTGTAGGGATCTTTAATTTCTCACAGGTCCAGATCCCAGCCTGTTTGTGGTCTTCGAGGTTGTCTAAACAGTATCAAGTTGGTGTGGAATATCCAGGCTGTTTACAAATTTTACAGTTTTTACTATCAAGAGTGAACTGATCCTCACCCCCCGCACCCAGTTGAGTAACGTAGGTAAACGTGGATTCTTGATAATTTTATTGACAGCCCCGTGTCCTGTAGGACTGGTAGTGACAACTGAAGCTACAGTAGCTGTAAAATCACCTAAAAAGTACATTACGGAGCTGTCTACGGTACCTGCATAAAGATGCTAATTAGGTGAACACACCAAATCTCCTTTACCTCTGCTAGCTGTATGGAGACCTGTCAGACATGGCTGGGCAGCACTGAAGCACTGACTGTTTTTAGGTCGCCGTTCTAATGCCTAACTATAGACCAGCCAGCATAGTTCCCCTTCCTCCAACACAGGTCAGGAACGGGACGGAATCCCAGATCTAGTAGAATTGTAAAGAGGAATCAGTGATGTTGCAGTCAAGTGCCTTCTCAGATGCACGCAAAATTGATGGCTGGCATGGTTGGATCATGGGCATTTGTCGACAACACCGATTATGTTGTGGTGGCCGACGCGGGAGGTTAACCAAGGGGAGCGTCGGGTACATCGCTCAGGAGGAGTGGCCTCTAAGTAATACTTTGACTGTTTGTTTAACGCCTTATTTTGGTTACACGAGCACTTAAAATCCCCGCTTTTGTACTTCCGCTGTACGGCTTAACTCCCGGGTCATGCTAGTGGCCTCTCAACGCATTAGGTACAAATCTCAAAATGACTAACATTTTCACTGGTGATAAAGCTAAAGGGTTTATTTATAATCAAATCAATGAGCGTCTTTTAATGCATCACAAACTACCCACTTTATTCCACAAAACTGACTCGTCTAGATGCATGAACACCTAGTGACGACACTGTGCAATGAACTGGTCAGATCTTCTAACCAGATTTTTAGGAGACTGTCAGTTATTCGGCCATCAGTGATATCTGGTTTCCTTGGTTGCTGTTGTGTAATCGCATTACCACCAGGAATAAACGCTTATGTCAAGTACAATTCGGCCCCAGTTTCGCTTACTACAGCGCATAAGTAGTTTTGGACTAGAGGCTTCCTAACTCCATAGTGCTATTTGGCTAGGAAAAAGACAAGCCGTGTTGAAAATTTAAAATTTTGAAGCAAATTCTCGTCAGGTGGAAGTTCTGAGCTATCGGGTACGATGTGCATACGCTAAGAAGGAAGTTATCACTTTCAGAACACTTTACTAACAAACATGCAGCCTGAAAACTTTAAATTAGCACCCGTACGAAAAGAGAATTCCGATAGCAGAAACTTTATACTTCAAATTTCGTCTTGAGCATCTTGTAGTAATCCTGTTGACTAGGAAACGATCCGTCTCCGTGACAAGTAGGTTGCTTAAGTTGATCACCCCAGAGCTGGATCCCCATTTTTAATCTGTTTGAAGACTGTGCCTACAGAGCTGATGATTCTATGCAATTGTAATTAAAAGTGGCTGGAACGCTAACACAAGCGCGTATTTACGGGGAATTTAAATGCTACAAAACCCTCGAAGAAATCGTAAGTCATGCCGCTGCGCGGACTCGCCGATTTCAAAATGCCAGTGTCACGTGCTTGACAAGGGCGCATCCGGTCTGTTTGTCGTATATCGAAGACGTGGATAACATGAGTCATCCGTAAAGGAGAAACTCTAACTTACAAACTTAAGTCTACTGGTCTAACGAAATTCTTCATTTAGCCCTCAATCGGCCAATCTGACGTATACGAAGAAGCAACTCAAAAGCACTTTAAATGTTCATGCTTCGTAAGTTGTTTGGCGTTCCTTTTCCCCGTAGGTACCATCAGCCTTTATCACAGATGTCCCTCGAATGGGAATTAGCGCCGTGCTAGAGCACAGCGACTTTCCCTTTTCGTGGATTTGATCTTAGCTGAGCTGAACGTAGCTATTCTCAGGCGCTTAAGGAAACCCTACCTTTCGCGTTCAAATATAATCCTAAAAATTTATTAGGCAAAATCCCTCACTGCAACGGTTTAGTGATGGATTGATGCACTAGCTACGTATTTTTATGCTTTCCAACAACTCAGTGCCATTTTTGTTCTGCATGTTGATCGCCTCAACATGCTACTGCTGAAGAAGCAAGTACGTGTGAAAGACTCCTCTCATGGCCGTTACCGATTCAATTAGGTCATCTAATTTGTGGAATAAAAAGGTGTTACCATTTCACCCTGCTTTCATTGCTATAGCCTTGAATCGACATACAAACGAAGGCTCACGGAGATTACTCAAAGCCGTGGACCAGACTACTGTACCTTGAGACTTACATTCCATTCATTCCACCGGGAAGATGGAGTTCATGATGGCAGTGTCTACAAGATTTCCGGAAACTTTGCTTGAATTCTTCCACAAGAATTATTTATGACCATTTCAGTACACCCCTCAGGCGATAGCCCGTGTACCCTGACAAATGCTACCCCTTAGTTAGTCTGGACACTTGCCCAAGCTGATCAGAGGCGTGAGTCATCGGCTACTTTGGGTTTTGCTGTCAAATCATGCCAGAAAACTTTAGTCAAGAGAAGGCGCCCTGTGCATTAATGACTGACAATAGGACACGCCGGACGTCCATGTTCGCCGACGTCCCTCAGAGGTCTATATTCGGAAGAGTGTCTTCAAATCTATTAATTCCCCTAATTTTAAGGAAGTAGAGTCGGGTGTGGTCAACTTCTTAATCCACCACCGCGGTACTTTCCATTTCACAATCAGAGGCAGTTTACCAAGTATGTCCCGTCTCGACTCAGAAAAGTCCTCAACTATAAAAACAGCCTTAGGCCATCAATAGTAACCCTTCGTAAAGGTAGGAACGCTAGTACGCGGCAACTTTTGGACGTTGGTGACAATTATGTCTGGGGACAAACTATGACAGCTGAGGACTTCAATGGTCCTCATTCAGATTCTTTTGCTAGTTCAAAATTTGATCCTTCCAGCATCATTTAAAGATGGCAGCAGGGGGAATGTTTAATGAGGTGGATACAATGGACCCTTGAACTAGCCACTTCAGGCTTCTCCACCCGCAGACAATGAATCCCCACTTTGACTCTATCTTCAGAAAGTCTTCATTGACGCAGTAATAAGTGGAGAAATTGCCACAGTACTGTCATTGCAAGGGAATGTGAAATGATACTAAACTAGCCCGTTCTTTAGCTCGCTTCCAGTGTTTATGAGTAGATGTCGACCTCTTGAAGACAAACACTAATGAGGGCTGTAAGGTGACTGCACCATTGAAAAGAAGATTATTTAGAAAAAATGGTTCTTGTTTGTCTTTATTTAGTATGCAGGCCATTGTAGGGCCCCGAGACTTCACTAAAGACGAAAGAAGTCATGGTACTCGGGCAGAATATGTATTGCCGATGTACAGAAGGGCTGAGGGGGGATAGTGTCGTGACAAAAAGGCCATGCCGCCTAGCAAAAGTACACTCGCAAAGCCTTAAGTGCCGGAGAAACAAAACAGAAAAGTAAAATAAGCAATAGAAGCATTACTTAGCCCTCTCTTCCCCTAACTGGCGTCCTCGGAGTTCCCCTTGTTCATCGTCCCGTATCGTCAATCACAACGTAATCGGTGCTGCAAGGAGAAACAGTCACGAACCAACAGAGCCAGTCACCGATTTTGTATGCAACTAAGACGATATATGAAATTAACATCACCAATCTCTCCCAACAATTTGGCAACTGTATTTTGAAAGGGGCATGTGCAGGCCATCTTGTACCTCCATCGCTAGTCGTGAGAGCATTGGACTAAAAACAGAGTTATTTAATAGAGGACAGGATTTGAAGTAGGTTCATAGGCAAAAGTCTTCGCGTCTTTTTCCACTTGCCACTTTGTTCTCATTGCAGCACTGCCTACCCACTTGCAGGTATTCTGCTGATTTGGATCCCTTGGTGAACTTTATTACTTTCGTAACCTAATAAAAGTATAGTCAATTTGATGTGGGGTGTAAGAGATAAAAAAATCTTCGACAACTTCTAGGTTGCTCTTGTTCATTTTGATTGAAAAAGGTACATTTGCTTCATTATACTTGATAAAAAAAGGTGAATGGGTCTAAACTACGAAGAAATTGCATCAGAATTCTTTGATATAAGTGACATGAGAGGAAGAGTAACATTCGCCTTAATACACCACTAAGCTCCGTGACTTGTTATAGACGTGGCTGGTGACATCACCTCTGTCTTGGTTGTCGTTTCGCTGCATATTATGCCTCATTCTCCAAAGTGGAATGGGGAAAAGGCCAATTCATTACAAAAGGTTTTACTGTTAGGTCCCCTGAGTGGTCTATTCAATTCTGCATCTAAAACTAAAGAGGAATGTTGAATTAATGTGGTGAAATTTGCCCTTAACTTACAAAAAAAAAACGAGTTTTGACGATTTTTTTAACCATTGGCTCTAAGATGGCGTCGAGCCAGAGGCTAACGGTAGGCAATCCAATTTTCTTCCTCCTCTTCCACCTCGGCCTCCTCCTTTTCCTCCTTCCCTTCCTTTTACTCTGATGAATAAGGGCATTCGATTTTCTTAAACTAAGCGCAGAATGGTTTGGTTTTAACTGGTCGAATGAATTATTTATCAGATTTTTGTTATAGGCTGAGAAAAGAAGGGCAGCGATCCCCTTCAAAAGTCTCGTTACAGATGAATTAACAGCAGATGTTGGTAAAGTTTCTAAAGAACCAGAACTATGCTGAGAAATAAAGTAATTCATAAAAAAGTTTAAACACATGTTTAAATCTTGTGTCTTTATAATAAGACACAATTTTATTCAAACATAATACAATGGTTCTTCGTTTAAATTTTCCATTCCTGGTTTCTCGGGCACTTAAGGCTCCGCTTTTGTACTTTTACCAGGCAGCATGGCCTTCGGTCCTTCTCCACGTAGACAGTGCATATTCAGATATAGTATTATGTTTACATTCTACTTCAGGGAAGACTAATGGAGCGGAAAGCGAATCTTACCCTAAAGAATAGTATTCATGATTTCCAGTCCTAAAAGCCAAACCTTGACGTGTCGAAAGAAGAGCATGTGCTGCGGATAGGATAGTCCGTGATGACCCCTAACAGAATGGCTGAAAATGACCTCTACCTTCTTCAACTACTTTAGTGCCCTATTCTGCAGAAAAGCTATTAATAATTGAAGCCACGATAGCCGTGATACATCCGGGAAAGTTCGTTGCAAAGCTACCTATAGTACATAGATAACGATGTAAATGAAGTGTACACGCGATACCTCCTCCACCTCTCTTCTAGCTGTACAGGACCCAAATTAGTAGACAGTTGGGAAGCACTGACAAGAGGACAATTTGATGGGAGGAACAGATGCGAAACCTCATTTTCACGCCAGTACTTTAAAGACCGTCAGCTTTTAGGCTAGTATTTCCACGACTAGCGATAAGCATTTAGGATGACAAGCACATGGCCCTTCTCTCATTTCACTTCCATTAAAAGGCAAAACTTTGAATCCTGTTGGATGGTCAAGGAGGATCAGTGACATTGCAGGCAGAAATCGTCTCAGCTGCGCGCAAATTCAATGATTAGCGAGCTTGATTCTTGGGCAATTTTTCTTGCAACGCCGACTACATTGTGATGGCCGATGCAGAAGACTGACCAAGGGCAGCGCCGGGGACGACACTCAACATAGGAGACGGGGCTATGTAATGATTTGATTTGTTCGTTAAACTCTTCCGTTAGCTCTACGTGGTACTGAAGGCTTCTCTGTTATACTCCTTCTGGGTGGCATGGCCTGCAGGCCATGCTAGTAGCCTTCTGCTCTTCTTTCGCCCTCTAAGTCTCAAATACGGCTAAGATCCAGGCGGCTTGAGTATTATTAATGATGGAGCCGTAAATAAACTAAAACAATGGTGGAAAATTGCAGACATAAATGTCTTGATCGAGGCTGTTAATTGCCGCTTTTCTTATAAGTTCCCATGAAAAGCTGAGCTACATCAACAAGCTGAAAGTGTTTTAGCAGTTAAATTCAAGATGAGTTTTACTAGAATTTGTCTGGATATGCATAGCTTCATCCATACTTCCATGCAACAAATTAGGCAAAAGTCTCGAGGATTACAAAATCTTCATTAAAAGTCCCAAAAGCATAGAAGGACTGTTCCACTTTTCAGCAGAACATGAACCAAACCTTAAATGATGTCTAATGAACAATTGACTGGCCATAAATAACCAGAAATGATGATAGTCCTGCCTCAAAATATTGTCAAACACCCGGTGACAGCAAAATCAATGAGTAAGGTCATTGGTCGGAATTTTGATATGCTGTAAAGGGTAATGCTATTGGCAGTGGATGTGGAAAAAATTTCACCACCTTTAAAATTTAAGCAACAATGCTTTGAATAATTTAGTCTTTGTGGAAATTAATCGTAAAATTAGCAAACTTTTAGGAACCTGAGTGGTAATGAAGGTTGGCAAGATAGTTTCATTAGAAGCCAATATGTTAGCCACAATGTAGAATACCAAATTTGGCAGATATAGAGTAAACTTTAATAATGCCAAAGAAGGACTTAAGCGATTAAAACATTGGTCTCCTGGCCTAAAACGCAGCTATGGTTGTGGAGATAAAAAGACATTTTAGTAGTATTTAGTGGAAAACTAACTGGGTGGAAATAAGTCTTGCATCTCAAAGCACTTTCCCGTGAATTCTGTAATATTAAATCTCTGATAACGACTGAGCATTCACTTGTCATAGTGGAAAGTTCGCAACATTTTGCCCTAATTTAGTGATGGACGAATGCATTAACATCAATATCAGCTGGAAGATAGGGGAATGCCGCCGAGGTAACGGATGTCACACGGATTAATGGAATGCATTTTGATTACTTGACTAGGGCTGAGAAACGAATGCTGGGTGCCAACATTCATCAAGTGAACAAGCATGACATTAACTGTCCCCAATCGGTCCCCTAACTGCTATCCCACATTTTAAAGGCATGCATCACTTTACCTCCATGGCATATTAATTGCTTTACGTGTACAGTTTACTGAAGGTCGTGAATTTCTTGTTGTTTGTTAAATGATTGCTACAGTCGAAACCTTTCCATTCGATGCAGCACAACTCAAAAGTGTACTTGAAAAGCCTCGACAATGGTGACATCTGGTGGTAACAAATCAGCCTGAAGAAAACCCCATTACCACTTTTACAAAAAAGCTCGAGACCTTAAACCTCGCCTGTGAGAAGACTGCTACTCCAGGATGAGCGAGAGGTATGCTGCCCCATCCCTATTGTATGACTCCCCTCGATGACATTTCATCAAATTCAGGGTAATTATTGCTTTATTTTGTCATTAGCCTTAGGCGACCACATGATAACATGCGAGACAGGATACACAGTTGGGAAGAAGGGGCTTGAAATGGAGGTAGGCGGAATTATTTGCACAGAGAACTGAAATAAGTACAATAAATGGATTTCTAAGGCTTGTTTTCCTTTAGATTCGCTTTATGTTTGATTTTTATCATATGATTGGCTTTAATTTAGAAGACTTGTGGTGTTCTTTTTACAACCCTCATATTTGCAGTTGAGACACAGGCTCGAAGAACGAGAGGTGGAGTGAACGCGCATAAGTGTTTGCCATGACAAGGGCGCCAGACTTCGTCGCACGCAAGTGCAACTGTTTTGATGATCATGGAAGAACGGTGAACCAATATTCAGACATTCACCTAGGTACTTAGGTTCTCTTTCGCAGCCTTTCAATAATTTACCGTCTGCGATGCCAGCTTCACTTCCTCTCTTTCTCTCTCCCACATATTTAGGCGTCTCGTGAGTGCGGCACCGAAGCTGCTGGAGCTTTTTTCATCGACATTTCAATTATGTCCACTAGAGCATGCATTCGCGGTTAATTTAAGTGTTCGGATTAATTTTATGATTTTGGCGTTTTTCATTTGCAGTCAACATAGTCTAGACACCCGGAGACACAAACTAATTAGTTTCCGAGTGTGGTAAATTAAAACCAAGCACAAGTTGTTAACATGTCTAAAATAAACCGGTCATGGCTCAAACCTGCTCCAACGTGGAGATTAGAAGCTATGAAATAGACCTTAGGAGTTGCCGCAGTCAAAGCGGTTGCGTTTATCCAATTCTACATATGAATTAGTAGCAAGGCCAAATGATGGCATGTCAGATATGCCGATTCATCTCAAGTGGATCCTTAAACCTGAAAAACCGGTGGACTTTGTTACACAAAGGTGTTATAAGCTGCTATTTACGCACGGGAGCTCGAATGTTGCCTCGCTCCTAAACAGACGACCTGAGAAGATAAAGACCCCAGATCGGAGGTCTTTCCTCTTGCAGAAGGTGGACAGTATGTGTGGGCCCGGACGAGTAACAGATAGGAGACCAGAGATGTTGACGACTCTTAAAAGATCTTGTGAGCGTTTCTAGGACCTTCCAGTACGAGATTCAAAAAAGGAACTTAAAGTGCTAAAATGTTGGCGTCTCAAACCTCCCCATCAAGTTGCCTCTTTGCTTTGGCAATGGACCACTTAGAGCTTCACCACTTTTACCTCCACTGGGCGTCGCAGCCTTCAGGGCATGACAGTGGATTCCAAGCACTTCCTTAGGTCGACAACACAGAATAGTTGGAAGAAAGACAATAGGGGATGATCTGAGCAAACCCTAACTTTGTGTTTTGGAGATGGATTCACTTGAGGCTGAAATGTCTAGTAAAGCACCATTCACATTATTAAGGTCGAACCCAGATTAGAGCCTTCATTTTTAACGATATCCTTGGTTGTGTATTGAGAGAAATGGCTTCTGATTGCTGAACCTTTCGGAATATTCTAAACTTTCATTAACTGCCCAACGCTCAGATCGTTTTTAATAAGGGTGAGGTTGTAGTAAGCATTCATAAGCTAGATCCAATCTACCTCGTAAACACACCGAATGACAGAGGGAGTCTTGAGGCGATTACAAAGGCGTAAGGTGGGGTTTGAACCTTTTGAAATACTAGGAACCGCGCAGCATGGATTAGGAGCTGACTCAAGTAACTAGAATGCTCAATATATTTGACATTAAAAAAATCTGTGAAGTTTCAAATGGCCACCCAGAGGTGCTTAACTAGGACTTTGTGGCGGACAGCATGGGACAATAGAGTTATTCACTTTCGCCTCCACTTGGAATACAATCCATAGGGTGATGGAAGAGAGCATCCTATGAACGTCCGATAGAATTCCACTTTAGATTTGGGAGGATTTATAACACCAATAGGAACAGGACAATTTAGTGTTCCGGTGCTGCTACTGCTGCATCTGCCATTAAGAGGAATTTTTTATGTGTGAGATCCATCAATCATGGGAAAATTGTGAATGCACATCTCTCATTTGCACCTACAATATGTCCCTCTAATAGTCACCATAGGAGTAATTACTTCCTTCCTAAATATTTGGTTACATACTGCGCGATTAGAGGGGTCCTTTAAGTTCAGTGGCTAGGGGACGACCACAGAAACTATAAGTGAAACAAAGTTCTCTTTGCTCTTTAGCAACAGTTTTATGGTTCTTTTGCTTGTTATCGCCACACGGAATACGAGATTAGAGTGACCGTCAAGGGGAAAAGCTACATTGACCGCCCTTCTGTTGTGAGTCCCCATTAATACAGCCACTCAAATTTCGGTATGCGATCATCAGACTGCGGTTTGGTTCAACTTAATCAAGCATGTAGGGTTTCCAATCCCCTCTAACGGGGTAATAAGGTGTTGTTGTGGGAGAAGGTTTACTAGCATCACCCAGAAGAGCTGAGCAGCAGTGGGTATGGGCAGAAGGCCAAGGCTTAAGAAGCCAGAAGTACCAGAGAAGTCAAATATCCTAACAAAACATGCAGCGCCTATTACAAGCGTATTGTCATGCTTTGGTTGTTTGTTTAAATCTCTGTTCTGGTAACGGGGTCAATTTGAGACCACTTCATTGCATCTTTGCCTGACTCGTTGGACCCTGGGACACGCTGGTAGCCATAATCCTTTCTGTGGATCAAAACTACATAGTCTGCCCGAGTATTATGTCTTCTTCCGTCTTCATAAAAGTCTCGGTGTACTACACTGGTGGCAGCGGAAAGCAAACCAAATCCTAAAGGACAAATATTTTGATTTCTACCGCTAAGTGGAGGATAAACTGCGGACAGGAGAATATGTGGCGAACTCTAGCTGAAGATCTGAAATGACATCCATCTTCGGCAACTACCCCATCCCCGTGTTCTACAGGAATGTTATTAAAACCGATGTAAAACTAGCCATGTACAGACGTCAATGAAGCAAATTCGCGATACCTTCACCACTTCTCTAGTATCTGGGTAGAATCCAGATAGATACATGGCTGGGTAGCACTAAAGTGAAAACCAAGTGGTAACGAACAATAGACGCAAAATCCTATCTCCATGACACCATGTCAAACCTCATTCTTTGTCATATGATCCTGCTTTTGGGTCAGTTTTCGAACGACTAACGATAGAAACGAGTGATGGCCAGCACGATGCCCCGTCCCTTAATACAGTTCCTTTACAGAATGAAACGCCTAGTCTACCGGTACTGCCAAGAAAAATCTGTGACGACGTGGTTTAGTATATTCTCAGTTACATGGAAATTCAAAGCTTGGCAAGGTTGGTTCGTGGTTGTTGCTTTTCTTACATCACTGGCTATATTGTGGTGACTGACGCTGGAGGTTGACCAAAGGTTACGTCGAGCACGACATTTAGGAAGGAAGAGGGAGAGCTATGCACTACTTTGTTTTTCAAATTCTCCAATCTAGTAACGGGCCACTTAAGGGTTCCTCTACTTTAAGTTTGCCGGATCGCCGGGCCTCTCAGTCATGCCAGTAACCCCCAAGGCCATTCTGTAGTCCAGCAGTACATACTCTGTCCGAGTATCATGGCCTCTTTCGCCTTCAGGGAAGTCTTGGCAAGTTACATTAGATCGCTAAAATAGCATAAGCTGACTAAAAATAGATGGAATTTCTCCCCATAACGCTTATGCTAAAAGATGTGCGAAATTTTCCAGACTATTCAATTGAAAAAAGTAATTTTGTCTGTAAAATGCCTTGAAACATTCTCCCCTACCATTTGATTTATTTCCTTCGGATTAAGTTTTTGGGTTAATAGTTGAGATAGCAAAGACATGCGCCTAAAAAGAGAGTTGGAAGTCAAGAAGTTTTTTTTAGTTATTACCCAGAACTAC